TCCTTCAAACCTGGCTCAGGAACGCCTGAAATGTTCCCAGTCACCCAGTCCAGAAACGCGTGGGCTTCTTCAGAACCCCACTCCTCCCTCAGCCTCACCTCAAATCCATGACCAAGTCCTGACAACTCCAACTTCAGTAAACACTTCTGTTTTTTTTTTTAAGTCCCTGATGCCACGGCTTTGGAGCAGAGCGTCAGCTGGGCTCTGCGATGGAGTCCCCTAGCTGATCTTCTCTCTACCAATCTCAGTCACCTTCCGAAAAAGCTTTCCGACCCATGTCCTTCTCCCAGTCAAAATGCACCAACGGCCTTCCGTCACCCTCTGTTGAAACCCAGATTTGGGGGATGGCTTCTACAGTCATTCCTGCTCTGAGAGGTGTGACTGTTCGGGGGGCCACCCCACCCCCTCACCCATTCACACATCCCTGCATTATCTTTGTCTGCCGTTTCCTCGGTGGCACCCACCCTTCCTCCTGACACCTTCTAGGTTGTGGCACGTCTTCTAGGAAGGCTTTTCTGGGATGGTTGAGGGGCGCCTACGAGCTGCGGGACCCCCCTCCCTGAAATTCTGCATTGCAGCTATCATTTGAGGGTCAACCCCTCAACCACATCTCGTGATGTTTTTCCCTCCTTGTGTGACAGCTTCCAAGAAGAAACCTATCAATGAAAGCGTATCCATGAAAGTCACTCATTGCCCCACGAAAGTTGACAACAAGTGAAAAAAAAATCAAAATAGCTTTGCGAACCAATCTGCCCTGGCCGTGCCCTTCTGCACAGAAATGAATGCCCTCCGACCAAATCCTAAAAGGCAACGGCACACCTGTAACGTTCAAGAAAAGCGGTTAGGTCTGTCGGTTTAGAGATACGCATAGGCACGCACGTCAAACCGGGCATGGATACCATGTGCACGGGTACCATTCCCTTGGTGCAAAACCCCACAGGTCAAAGGAATGAAAAGTTACAACGTCTCACTCCAGACGTCAGCCCCACACACCACGGCTCCCCTCCCAGCTGCTCTGTGCCCCCAGCGATCTCCTGGGCCTGAACAAAAGGAGAATTCTAGAGTCCGTGTGTGTTCTCCACGCCGGCTGACAGGCTGCTTTTTTTCACTTCACAAAAATACCCCGGAGAACGCTTGGGGTCGGATGTGAAAAGCTGGGCCTGACATTGCAGTCGAGACGCATAGGGTTCCACGTTACACACACGCCGTTATGGACCCAGTGGCTTCCTACCCATAACCAGTTCGCGTCACCAATCTCTACATACCCGAGAAGGTGACAAGAAATAACGCCATGTGTCATTTCGAACAGGGGAGACTAGGACGGATACATTTCTAGAAAATGGACTTGCTGGGTTGAAAGGTTAAATGTCGAAACGTTCCCGCAGTCGCCCCCAAGCAACTAAGTATTAAGACTGTCAGGTGTTGACCCTCTGAATGGTAAAAAACGGCATCTAAAGAATTTTAATCAACGCTTCTCTTATGATCACAGATTGACAAATGTCTTTTTGTTTAAAAACAAAACAAAACAGCTTCGTCATTTTTTTTTTCCAAACTAATACCCTTCTTAAACTAGTTTATCTGAACTTAGGAAGAAGAATTGTTGGGCACTTTTAGATCATAAAAGGGATAAATAGTACATTAATATGTTGGGGGGATGAGGTTAGTGGTCACACCTTCCCTCTTTCATGTCATTGTCCTATTTCCATGAACTCTACACTCATGTATTCTAGAACTCTCTAGGCAGAGAGTCGATTTTATCCTACGTGGTTTCTTGTGGACAAGAAGACCTCACCTCCTGGTGGGTATAAGCAAAAACCTTAGCTCTGTGATCCATGGAACAGGGAGAATGGGAGCGTAAAGCTGTAACAATTCTTCTTCCATATCGTTTTGGGGGCGTTACACTGCTAGGTGAATTGATTCACTGCTGGTTTACAAGGGACTCACATAAAAACCACAAGCAAGAGATGTCAGGATTAAAGGTGGACACGTGAACGATCCTTTCAAGGGTCCTAGCCTAGAAGAAGAAGAAGTCGGGTAATAAGGTATCAAAGATTGGAAACAGGACCTGTTTCGTTAAGGGAAGTGTTGGAATATTATCTTGGAATTGAACCGGTTTTTTGGGGGGGTTTTTTTTGCTAGAATTGTTTGACGAGCAGGACGAATTAAGTTGAACGATTTGTGCCAAAAAAAAAAAAAGAAAAGAAAAAGAAAATGGCAATGATTTGACTGATGACTCCTTCAACCACTTAATTGTTACTCTTAATTTTGTAACTTAAGTGTTTCCACCGAATCAACATTTGGAATCCCATGAACTTATACATAGAATTGGTGTTTAAAGGAATACAGATGTGTATCTTTATCACCTATTCATGCATTATTTTGACACAAATTATTTGGCAAACCATTTCAAACAAAATTGAGCACCTTGAATTATGAAAAAAGTTCTTTGAGCAACAACAGAAATATAGATGGTCAAACATCAAAGGTCACGGGACAAGGACTCGCGATGTTCATTTACTCTTAAATTTCATGTAATTCACATTAACCTGGCTAGTCCATGCCCGGGACCTTATGAAAAGCTATCACTTAGAAGGAAGAAAACTCAGAGGAGAAGCTGTCACTGAAAAATAAACTACAAGGGTGGATATATTATCACTGCAGCAAGCAAATACCAGGTTTAATTAAAACACAATAGTCCGGGGGCAATTTCATGTAGAGGTCTGTCACCCTGAACCCCTCAATAGATGCCAAAGGCCTTACCGTGCTTTAGCTAGGTATAAAAATTGATATTCACCGTGTCGTTTCCACATCGATGTTTATACGGTTGATTCTAAGCTAAGCCACAAAGGGAAGCATTAATGTTTGACCATTACACTCAACTTTGTAAGCCTGGATGTTGAAATTGTGTGTGTTCAAGGTAAACTGGAGGTTGCTCATCAGCAGCCGAAACCCAGTCACCATAGGTATACAGACGAGCAGGTTTGGTGGCTCCTGGCAACACACACCTGTTTAAACTCACCGGGCAGAGCAACACAACCTTCATTTTAATGTAGCGTCTTAATACCACGAGTGACCTTTCAAGAGTTGTTAGGCAGAGTTGCCAAATAAGAAGGCGTTACTGTGAGACAAAAAAAGGCTGTTGCATTTTCCCCTGCCTTACCTGATCTGATGGGGTACCGGCCAGTCAGGAAGGCAGCCCGACTCGGGGTGCAGACAGAGGCGGCCGCCAGGTGCTGCGTGAGCTTTACTCCCTCCCTCGCCAGGCGGTCGATGTTGGGTGTGCTGCCGACAAAACAGAAGTTCCGTATGTAAGTTTCCAACCCAAGAAAATGAACATGACTCAAAGCCATTGTGCTTTGGGTCCAGGTGACCCTGTTTCCAGTGACCCTAAAATACACCCTTTGGACACGTCAATCCATCTGCCTGCTAGGATGCACCCCTGGTTAGACGCTAATGGAAACTAGAGTGTGCAGCCATATATATGCAGGAAAATGACCACAAACGCATATGGGTCACCAGGTATAACTAAAGTCCTAACTCGGCTGAGTGAAACAGGCATTTCAATAGGAAACCTGGTCAAGTGGACATTGTTATATTCCTAAAAGTAATGGGCCGCTTAGCGTCAATAAAAGGTTCATGTATGTCTTATAGGAAAGTCTGTCTTTTCTTATAACCAAATTCTGTCGTGTTTCAATTCAGTTCATTTCCTGTTTCGTTTGTCTACTATTTTCAGGTCTGCAGACAGCGAAACACCTGCCTCGCTGTGTTGCTTTACGTAAGACCCCAAATGCCGTTAGGGAGACCCATTTCTTTCCATCTACAGGTACACGCTTAAATGGTGGGGTTACGCTGCAATCTGCATTTCAAGGCAAATCAATGCGATTTAAATTCAAGCTAAGAGGGACCATACCTTTGCACATGAACAGAATTTGCCATCGTGATGGGGGACAGGCTGCTAAGGAAGAGTGCTGGCTATCAGAGGCTTTGGAAAGCATCCAAGGAAGATGTTAAAAAAAAACCTCTGAACTAACTAATACAATGGAATATTATTCAGCCATGGAAAGGAAGGCAGGACAGACACATTCTACAATATACATGAACCCCAAAAACCTTATGCTCCATGAAAGAAGGCAGGAAAGCACATATTATATGTCGTCGGCTGAACTGTGTCACCCAAAGCTTCTACGTTGAAGTGCTCACCCCCAGGACCTCAGACTGTGGCTGTATTTGCAGATGGGTCTGTAAGGAGGGGATTAAGGTGACATGAGATCACTAGGTGGGCCCTGACCCAATAGGACTGTGTCCTCATAAGAAGAGGACGTGAGGACACAGACACACACAGAGGGATGGCCATGTGAGGACACGGGGAGCAGACGGCCAGCAGAGAGGCCTCGGGGGGGGACCAGCCCTGGGACACCCGGATCTCAGACTTCAAACCTCCAAAACTCGGAGAAATTTAATTTACGTTATTTAAGCCACTCAGCCTGGGGTCCTTGGTTAGGGCCGCCCTAGCAAGCTAATACATTATATGACTCTATTGATATGAAATTTCCAGAATAAGGAAATCCATAGAGACAGAAAGCAGCTAGTGACTTCCAGAGGCTGGGGGTGGAGGGAGTAGGGGGCGACTCTTACTAAGTACAGGGTCACCTGTTAGAGGTGATGAGGAACAAAAGTTCAGGAACTAGACAGCGGGAATGCTTGTGTAACCTTGTGAATGTCAAGGCCCCTGAACCGCTAGCATTCGGTTGGTTAAACAGGTAAAGTGTGTGGTATGTGGTTTTTTGGTTTGTTTGGTTTGTTGGTTTTTTTTAAACCACAATGATAAAAACAGCAGCGGCAGCAACTCTAAGCTAAGGAGACGGGATGTCAAATGCAGTGCTGACACGTTGCAGCTTGACTGCAGCGACCTCTGCTGTTCTGGCTGTTTTGACGATGGCACAGATGTGACCGGGGACATGGGGCAGCGCCCTCTGCAGACGTGAGGATGTCTTTACCTCATGGTGTAATTGCCATAGCAGCCTAAGTCCCCCACTCCAAGGTCATCCGCCATTAAAAGGACAATATTGGGCCTGGAGTTCCTTGTCACAAACGTTCCGTTAAGGCCCCCAAACAAGCAACACAGTGTTAGCGACAGCCAGCAGTTCCTGAAAATATTTGGGGGTGCGGGGGGAGGCAGAGGAAAGGGACAAAGAGAAAAAAAAATAGAAACCATCAATTCACACTTGCATGTTAGGCAACTTCAAAAAAGAAAAATAACGGCTTGCTTTACCAGTTTCCACTACACCACGTGCCTGAGCTGCCTTCCTGAGAAACCAGGATTTTATTAAAAGTCATGTTTTCAGTTAATGTAGAATAATTTACAAATTAATCTTACGTGCATTGGGACATAAAAGTCTCATAGCTTTTCAAGTCGTTTGAAAAGTCAGTGACGCGAGGCTCTTGAAAACCATGAGTGGTTAACGTGGAGGGTGAGGTCTGACAACTGGATTTCTTTGTATAGAAATGGAAACAAAATGGAAAATACGAGCAAATAGGCAGCGAGTCAGGCTTGTTGGGTTTTTTTTCTTAATGTTCGGTTATACTTTTTAATATATTTTATAACTTTGTAATTTTGCTCCAAGCCACACAGAGGGAAAAGTGCCAGCAGAAACTCTAGCAACTTCTTGGGTCTGAGCCCAGGAGTAAATGATGGAAAACTAGTATTTTGGGGGTAGACTACATCTGTGTGCAGACAGAAATTCTGCCTTTTCTTCATGAAGAAATTACGTCCACAGGACAAATCAATCCTGTGAAGGATACTCAACTGCAAAAAAAAAAAAAAAAAAGAAAAAAGAAAAAAACAAATGAAAACAAATCCTGGAAACTCTTTGAGCATCTGAAAAAGGAAGTATAACATTTTGCAATATTCTACTCAAGTTTAGACTGTAGAATAACGCGTATGTAAGCGCTGGACTCTGTAACATGCTGGAAAAAAAACACACAAAAAAACCCACAAGCACCGTTGATCAAGAATAATCACTGCAAATTGACAACCATTCGTTCATATGCAGGAAGCTGGTTCCCCAACCCGAAATGTCATCCTATCAGTTCCTCATCCAATCCATTCTAAGTCCTGTTAATGCCATGTCAAAAAATAAAATAAAATAACAAAAGAAAAAAAAAACCCAGAAGAACACATCTTAAATTCATTGCGTCCATGTGCATTTGGTCTCATCGCTGTAGCCCAAGCCCCTCGCTTGCAGATCCCAAAACCATCCTTGCCGGCCTGGCCAGTTCCATTTTTGCCACCTGGCTGGATCAAAACACAGACGAGCAGAGCAATCCCCCAAATGCACACACAGGTGGTGGCCACACTCCTTCGAGAAGCCCGGTGGCTTCCCGTTTGCTCTTGGGATTAAAAATCCCACCCCCCAGCCCGATTGACAAGCCTCACTGACTTGACCTCGTGGGTGTTCTGTCACGTTGCCCTCTCACAGCCTCGCCGCCGCTGGCACACCCACGAGCCCCCTTAAAAATCTCTCCCCTGCTCCGGGACTTTGGCCTTCAATCCCACGCGTGCTGCCATGCCTCAGGTAGGCATCGCTGCCCCAGAGAGGCCGTCCTCTACGACTCCATCAGCCCATAGTCCCCAACACACCAGATTGTCCCCTCGCCCCATCCCCCATAGACCAAGCAGACCCACGGTGAGCCAGGATGCAGGCGACGTGCACCACGAACCCTGCTCTCCACACAGACAGAGGAACGAAAGCTGACGGCGGCGGCCACGCACCACGCGAATGATGACTGCCTCATGGCTGCTGCTTCTGTCACCTGCGGAACAAAAGCACACGCTGAGAACGTCTGCAAAGCAGGTATTGTCCGCATCGCTGCACAGGTGAGCTGAGAGAGAACACAGTTCTGCTGTTGCAAGCCATCCGCTGATAGTAACTCTTTCACAGCAGCCCCAGGAAAAAAAAAATACATGTGAAAAAAAGAAACCTCTATATGATAAGAATGTGGATGGAAAAAAAAGGCCACACACTGCACCTGACAAGCTCAGGGGAGGCCAGCATGGCGGGTCCTACAAACTCAGAGACGGAAAGTCACCACACAGCATGGTCTGAACGTGAAAATTCCTGACTAAAAGTGGGTCACGGCGGGAAGTCCCATCCTGGGCCTGTAGCTGACAAGGTGAATCTTTACCTGAAGTGAGCGAGCCCTTCTATTGTCTTTTTGCATCTAAGATAACACGCCCTTGGACCGTCAGACCCCTCAGGGCACAGCCCACTGCGTCAGAGCAGGACACCACAGAACCCCTCATGTGACCTAGTTCCCTGGTATGTGCTGTGATATTAATTATTAACTCTCCTGCACCCACCAATGTAAAAGAAGTGTGTGTCTCTCCATTTTTCTTTGTATCCAGCCCCAGAGGTTTCCCCGCTTTGCTCTCTCCCGCCCCCTTAGTCTACAATCAATGGATTTCATGGAACCCTCCTTTGAGTCTAATGTATAAAATAAACTGCAAAACTGCCATTCTTCGGAGAGTTTTGTTACTCTGTTGTGATTTTGCTTCCCGGTAATTGTCATCAGTTTGGCTCCAATAAACTCATTAAACTTCTTGACAGGCTTGGAGGTTTCTTACGGTAAGAGAGACCATCAGGAAAACAAACCTGGCATGGTCAGAGAAACATGACATATGTGCAATATTTTCTATGCATACATTAGAAGTGGGTCTAAAATACGAAAGAAAAATTCATCAGTTCAAAGACAAACAAATTATCAATAAATTCATAAAAATACGCTTGTCCTCCTTAGCCACTGGAAGAAGGAAATTTTAAGGATCACAAGAGCACGTGTCTCACTTTCAAAACACCAGTAACTTTTCAAGTTGGGTTGTTTCCTGTTCTAGCAAAGATTCAAAAAAAGGTAACTTGACACTGCTGATGAAATTTTTTGTGATGGTCAGTTGCCACTAAATACTAAAAAAAAAATTTCTTTTTTTTAATTTGAAAAGTCAGGAGTAAGAGTGTCTGTTGCAATGTCACTTTTAAACAGTCAGATTGAAACCAACTGGAACTCCCATTATAAAGAGGAATGGGTAAATAAGTGGAATGCAGTTCAACAATTAAGTTTGCAAACTTTCTACTGTGTAAGCGCACAGTGGAAAGTCCACGGGTTTAATTGTCCAACTTTCATAGTATAGTCATGTTGGGGTCACCGCCTCTTAACAAAACTTAGACAGAAGGTTTTCGTTCCAGAGACTTGACTGACCAGGCCTGGGACTGTCTCTCTCAGCAAGAGAAGAGATCAGCTGCCAAGTCTTGGTGGGTAAGGAATTTATAGGTGAAGCTGAATACAGAAGCGAAAAAAAGCGGTTAGTGTGCAAAAAGGAAAAATGGTTAGTTTACCTTATTTTAACAAACTATAAAACACAGTTAGGTTATTATTTTTTACGAGCTAATACATAACTTGCTTATCTTCGTGACGGGCTATCAAACATGACTTGTGTATCTTTTCCTAACAAGCCATATACTTTGCTTATCTTCTTCTACTTTCTTAACAAGACAGTTTGTTATGGTTTTTGCTGAAGCAGGAGCTTTTTAAATTCCTCTGGGCGGGGGGGGGTACTCTCCGAAATGAGCTTGCTTAGCCTAGGGTCTGGGCCTGGGTCCTTACAGTCAAAGGCAGAATTCTTTGCTATTTTCTTTAAAATAAGGAGGATGCACTCCTTGACCTCCTGGCTGTGTTAGATGATAAAGCCGTATAATTCTACAAGGCTCTTCCCAGCCGCAGGCGAAATCTAAACAGTAATTAGTTTTACGGGAGCTTTCATCCAAGGAGGCAGCAGTGCCACCTGGGCGGTTAGTCCTCAGGTTCCCCCACTTCCCCACCAGGAAAGCACAGTAATCATATCATCAGTCCCCCTTTGACATGGATAAAATGGGCTGCAGGAGCTGGGGGGTGTCGCTTACAGCCAAACTCGTAAATTTAAATACAGCCTCTCCGTCCATTAAAACGTTGTCTCTATTAATATGGAGGCGCGACTATCGTCTAGCAGCTGAAACCAGTCTGGGAAAACCCTGCATTCTTTCCATGAAGGAGACGCTGTTGCCGTCTCCCCCACACCTGAGAAAACACACAGTTATGTGGGACCACGTCCCACGGCCGCCGTGCAGAGGGGCTGCTGCAAAGCAGCTCGACACGCCGTGCAGAGCCAGCCAGTTATCTGGATGGGAGCAGCGTTTACACAAGCCCAGGAGAAACGGGGCAAAACTCTGCAGCTCCTACTTAATCAGGACAAAGGCAATGGGCTCTACTTCCCGTTTTCGCCTCTCCTTTCTTTGCTTTGCTGCTCGCGCTCAGAACCCAAACCCGGAGGGGGCAGTGCCACTGAATTCGACGGAAGCACAGCCAATGCCAGGGACGTATAAAGGAGTCAAACTCCATGTGCGGGGGTGACACGAGGATGAGGGGTGCACGTGTTTCAGAGCAGGTCGCTCAGCCTCACACTACGGACTTGTGGGGCTGATGGGTGTCCAATGTGGGGCGTCCTGGGCCCTGTAGGGTGCTAAGCAACATCCCTGGCCTCCACCCAGCAGGGGCCAGGAGCCACCCCCTCCCCAGTCATGACAAAAGTGTCCCCAGACATTGTCATGTGTCCCCTGGAGGACAAAATCCATCCCCAGTTTTGAACCGGTGCCACAGAAACACAGATGGATAGATAATAGATACAGGGATATAGAAACAGATGGTTGATGATTAAATATATAGACAGATAGAAAATAGGCAGATACATAGATAAATGACAGATACATCGATGATAGGTAGAAGACAGATGCTAGATGATGGATGGATGGATAAATAGATAGATAGATAGATGATAGATAGATAGATGATAGACAGATGATAGATGATTTATAGATTAGATAGATGGGTAGATAGATGATTTATAGATAGATAGATAATAGGTACATAGATGATACAGATGATTGATAGATATATAGACAGACAGATAGATAGATAGATGCTAGATAGATGATTTATAGATAGATAGATGATTTATAGATGATAGATAGATAGATAGATAGATAATAGGTAGATAGACAGATGATAGATACATAGAGTCTCTGATGCTAAGTCGGGGTCTCTCAGCCTCACACACTGACGTCTGGGGCTGGATGACTCTCTGCCGAGGGGCGTCCTGGGCCCTGTAGGGTGATGAGCAGCGTCCCAGGTCTCCACCCACCAGACGCCAGGAGCGCCCCCTCTGCAGTGTGACAACCAAAACTGTCCCCAGACATCAGCACATGTCCCCTACCAGACCACCTCTCTCCATAGTGACATCCACTGAGCTAGACCGATCGAAAATTATCTTCTTGCATAACATCTACCGCTGCTTATTCACGACGCAAGAGTGCCACTTAGTCAGTCTTTCAGTTGTTGATTTAAAACAGAAGCGCTGAGATGCTATTTTTTATTATTATTTAGATGCATTATAATTAAAAGCTACCCATGTCCTCCTTCCTCGATGTCACCGATTCCATAACGAAACGTTCCCATATTTCCCCATGTATAAGACGCACCCTTTTCCGAAAAATTTGGGGTCTGAAAACTGGGTGCGTCTGATACAGGGGCTGTAGATGAGGACAAGCTAATGGTTGGGAGTTTTGACAGTGATGAGGAGTTGTATGAATTTCATGATGACTAAAACTTGAGTTCAATAACTTCATGTCATACATTCTTTTTTTCAAATTTCGGGCCCCCAAATTCAGGTGCGTCTTCTACATGGGGGAGTACGGTAGTAAGTGGGATTGTGGCATTAGCATGCAATTCCTCACTTATACAGAGATTTCTGAAGGGGGTCACATAAAGTCCCAGACGCCTTCCAAATTGCCTGACCCTCGGCAGAACACTATAGTTGTAAAAGATACAACAGAGCACTCAACAATATGGAAACTTTTAAATCCACGTGTTATTTAAAACATTTTTTTCCCCCTATTAATCTAAAGCCAGTTTTTCCAGCGGGTGAGCTAGACCCCACCCGTCCACAATTTGCTTTTCCCTAAGAAAGCTCCCACGAATAAAAGCATAATTTATAGCCGTAGTGATGATGTAAATTTAGAGGCGAGAAACCTAGTGTCCCGATGGGCAGAGTTGTGATGCTCTGTGTCAAGCTATGATCTTTAATAGTTTAGTATTCACGTGTTCACCAGGATGGTAGAAGCCACAAAGCTTCCTGCGAGCATTACAACAGATACCCTCTCCAAAAGCTAAAAGACACCTTTGGAGGTTCACAGGCTTACTTGTCCAGATGTCATCTGGGGATGACCAAGCAAATGTCCCCCACCACCAAGCTCTTGGGGGACCCCCCTTACTTATCTTCCAGACGACGGCATAAATGCTGTCAAACATATCAAGTCCGCCATGAAAAACAGGGTTTGACCCCCCAACCGTCCACCCACAAGTGAGTGGATCAACCAACTTGAGAGAGTTGATTTGATAAAACAAACACGCAAGTCTTCACTCTTAACCCCACTGACCATCTACGAATGGAAGTGCCCCAAACTGGAATTAGAGTAAACCGAATACATTTTACTTACTTGACACCAGTTGTGTCTTCGCCACCTGCATCTGTGGACACTGGCCCTGAAGGTGTCAGCTCCTGCCACAGACCTAAGTGCCTGCATTCATTAGTCTAATTAAATATTCATTAAAGACCAAGGTTGGGCATGGCTCGGGTCTGCCCATTATTTTTATATTTCAACATAACCTCCCATAGCAGCTGTGACATAGTTATTTAGGAATGGAATCATTCATCTCGGGCTTTGAACTGATACCACACACACACACACACACACACACACACACACACACACACACACACACACACATAATTAAGGGACTGTGATGAAACAAACAAACAAACAAAAAACACACAAAACTTAACCAGGTAGGCGTTCAAAGGAGGGACGTGGGGTGGGATGGCCACAAGGCAAAGTTCAGCCTTCTCAACGCTGCTGCACACTTTCGAGAGCAGCTTTCATCTTCCAGGCTGAACGGATCCTGTAAACGCAGCACCACGAAGCCTCAACCCACACGTCTGGGGCGGGTGAGCATCGCGAGCTGCGTTTATACCTGGAACGGTGGCACCTGAGACACCCTGTGTGCAGGACTCAGGGAGACACACCCACAAGAAATGCTTGCCTCGCAGGGCTTCTTTCTTGTCGCATGTCCCCCGTCGGCACAGCCTGAGCACGTGTGTGACACGGTAGGGGTGTGCGGCTGAGGGCCCACAGGAGAATTGTTGTGCATGAGACGAGCACGCCGTCAGCCAACGATGTGGCTTACAACCCAGTCTCCGCCATTTCTGGAGCAAACACGTTTCAGGGACAAAGGGTTACATTACAGGTCAGGCTTGCTGTGTTGGACTTTGTCCGATTGTGCTGCATGGAGACTGTGTTTTCTGCAGGGTGAAGCTGTGCATCCAACAAGCCTATCGGAGCCGTGCTCCCAACAGGCTCAGCATTTTTCAGCAATAAAGTTTTTTTTTTTATTAAGGTGTGTCCATTTTTTTTTTATTTAGAGGTAACGCTATTGCACATTTAATAGCCTAGAACAGAGTGAAAAACATAATTTTTATATGCAGTGGGGAAGCAAACAACTAGGGTGACTCACCATATGGCCGTGTTGTGGACCCCAACCTACCCCATCTCCAAGGCACTGAAAACAGCCGGGGAAGAAAAAACCATGGAGAAGATGGCAGTTGTTGTGTTGGCCATGCTGGAAGCATGGGGCAGTGATCAGGTAGGAAACCCAACTTGGAATGAGAAGTAACACCCACAGGTATTTCTAGAAGGGAAAACATCTTCCCTGAACCAGGAGTTCCAGGGGACGCCTGGGCAAGGGAGACGAGAGGAATAGAGCCGAAATTGGAGCTAATCCTGGAAGGAACTGACGAAAGTTATAGACACTCCGTCACACACGAGCTTAGAGCCCACGAGGACGCAAAACCCAAACACCCAACGGCCTCATTTTAGTGCAGCAGGAAAACGTGTGTCTCGGGTGACGCGAAACACAGACAGCCCACTGGGAGCGGCCTCCTCCACGTCACACAGTGGCCAGTGGCCATCACTGGACACCGTTCCCAAGGCCTGTGGTCATCACCGCACTGACACGCAGGGCTCCCCAGTTTGCAGCAGCGAGACAAAGCGCGCTATCGCCAAGCACACTCCAGCGGCAATATCCTGGTGCCGTGTTGCTGTCATTCCCAGACTCAAAATCGACAAGTTATGTGGAAAGCTCCATCCATTTTTTTTTTAATCATTTGCAGGATCCTTACGTTGCCTCAAAGTCTGATCTCCAATCTGTAAGGTGCGTCTAGATGGACAGTTTGTGTGTGGGTGGGAAGATAGGGTCCATTTGGGACGATTATTGGACTGATGGCTTTCTTAGTCCTTTCAGACAAAGCCGGTCGTGCTGTGTTCACTCAAGAGAGGGGTCAAATCCAACATCTGTTTTCTCTGGGGGGGGCGTCACAGGGCAGGGTGGGGACATGGACCACTTCCTAGGGATGCAGTTAGGGCCGGATTACGAGCTCCGGTCCGTCTGTTCCCAGGCACACATTTTTCTCCCCATCTTCCTTTTGTCCTTATTTCATGTTCTATGGTTGTACCCTTCTAACCATTGGAAAGCGCACAGTTCAATGGGTGTGGTATATTCGCAGTGTTGCGTCACTGCCACCTCTACTTCTGGCACATGCCATTCACCCTCCAAAGGAGACCCTGTCCCCATTAAGAGTCACCCCTCATGCTCCCCTCCATCCAGCCCCCGACAACCACTAATCAGCTTTCTCAACCACAGATCTCTGTGGATGAGCCTCTTCTAGACGTTTTGCATAAATGGAGTCACGGATTGGGCGTCCTTGTGTGTCCGGTGTGTGTCACTCACTTGAAGGTCCCTCCACGTGATGGCGAGTGTCACAGCCTCGCTCCTTTTCTGGGCCGTGGAATATTCCACTGTGTGTCTGGACCACAAAATGGAACCCCAAGTGCGTCCAAGGCCCAAATGAAAGAGGCAAAACTACAAAACTCTTCCAAGAAAACCTGGGGTCAAATCTTCATGGCGTTTCGCTTCGTGCCCATTTCTTAAGATGCAACACCAAAAGCACACGCGAGAAAAGAAAAAAAAAATAACCCACACGTCTTACTTCATCCACATTAAAAACGTGCGTGGGCTTCAAAGGGCACGATCAGAGAGTGAAAAGCCCACGGATAGCGTGAGAGATCACGGTTTCTAAACACCCCCACCCCTGAAGTGAATGTTCCTGAAGTCCAGATGCATTTTAGAACACCTGTCAATCAGGTGGCAGTCGCCACCTACTTGTGTGGAGACTCTGCTGACACCTTCCAGCAAAACGACGGAAATGCTGGGGACTCAGCGTCACAGTTGCATGAAGATATTCACCATCATTATCATCGTTTCAATTTTTTCTTTCTTGGTCTTTTTTTTCCACATACCTATGTATTTCTTCTTATATTAGTTTCAGGTGTATTACACAACATAATGGCTAGACATCTACACCCCTCACAAAGTGATAATACGCCCCCTCCCAATCTGACATCGTATGTAGCTGTTCCAATACCATTGACGCTATTCCCTATGCGGTACTTTACATATTTAATTTGATTCTCAGTAAAGTAGATTGAAAATATTGAACAAAATTAAAATAGCCTATCAAGCAGCCCTAAGTTAAGCAAATGCGTCGAACTGTGTTTCTCAAGCTTACTGGAAAATTTACACATATGTATATATTTTGTTACAGCAGCCCTAAGAAAGTAATGAATGTTTACGTTTAGAAACTGATCATTTATATCCTGGGGGTGCCCAAAAAAACGCATACACATTTTAAAAGATGTTATCTATGTTCAAACAGTCATTCGCCGTCATCAAAAGTGTCTGAACGCTGATGGGAACCACTCTGAGCACCTCTTGTCGTTGCAGACGTCAAAGGTGACTTGTATTCATCTTTTGCTATCGGTATATATTGAATATTAAAATTTTAACATAGTTTTCCTTTCTGAAAATGTGTCTACATTTTGTTGGCACCCTCTGTATGTAGCAAGTCAGACGATTAGATTGTTACTAGAATCAGTGTTTTTCAAAGCAACGCCCGACAGGAAGAACCGTAAGATGTCGTTAGGTCTTCCATGGAGGAAGTTCGTTGTAATATGTGATGTATTTCTTATGATGGCTTTTATCTTCCCGAACTTTGAACCAGTTTACATAAAAAGCTTCCTCTGCCCTTTATTGGAAAGTACAAAAAGCTCTTAAACTGTCTCTGGAACTACCTAAGAAATAAAGCTCCTTAATGCTACAGGTGTCAGAACCCAACTAGGTATAGACGTAAACCATTGTGTATATCCGTGTGTGTGTGTATATATATATATATATATATATATATATATATATATATATAGGTGTAAGTGTGTATATATGCTTGTGTGCATGTGTGCATGCGCGTGTAAACGCTTAGCTATAGGGTGTGTGTGTGTGTGTGTGTGTGTGTGTGTCTGGAAGGAAACAGCATCCTACAGGAGAAAGTGGAATCATGTTTTAACATCCCGAGCCTGGCAGGTCTCCGCCTAAAAATGAAAGGCCTCTGCAAGTGACAGGCAACACACATTTATTGAGATCAGGAAGAAAAGCAAGATACGGAAACAGCGCAAGCGTCTGCCCGTAGACGGCTAGACAAGGAAGAGGTGGTACATTTAGACAGGGGAGTGTTACTCGGCCGTAAAAAGAATGAAATCTTGCCATTTGCGGCAACGTGGATGGACCTAGAGGGTATGATTATGCTGAGCGAGATACGTCAGACTGAGAAAGACAAATATCATATGATGTCACCTAACTGTGGAATCTAAAGAACAAAATAAATGAACAAGCAAAACAGAAACAGACTCAGAGACACATAGATGCAGAGGATAAACTGATGGTCGCCAGATGGGAGGGGGTTGGGGGCTGGGTGAGAAAAGGGAGGAATTAAAAAGTACACATTGGCAGTTACAAAATAGTCACAGGACGTAAAGTACAACACAGGGAATAGAGTCAATAATATGGTCATAGCAATGGATGGTGCCAGGTGGGGACTAGGCTAATTGGGGGGATCACTATATAAATTAGATAAATGTCTAACCACTATGCTGTACACCTCATACTAACATAAAATAATACGGAATGTCAACTGTAGCTGAAAAAAAAAAAAAGGAAACAAATAATGTTTAAAAAGAGTAGCTCTCCGGGAAGCCCTGATTTGGGCAGAAGCCCAGACGGTGCCCCGATGAGGCCACAAAGGCCAGGGGTGTTTATGACAAAGGGAAGGGTGACAGTGACGTCACAGAAGGAAGGCGTTGCTCTTGGTGCAGATACTGTAACATAGTGACGCTGATTCTAAACAGTGTTTCTAATTTTCAGCCCAGAGTCATCCGTCCTGGAGTCACGGCACCTGTTTCCTTGTTGCCTCTGCAAACAGCTCTTTGGGACACAGTGTTGCTGAGGCCCCGTCCTAAGGTGACTGTGTCCTGTTGTGACAGCCACAGGTTGGAGGCGTCAGACGGGCCAGGCCGGTCCTCAGGGATGGCAGCTCCGTCTCCACAGGAAAGGGGCTGGCTCCGTTCATATTATTCTGACATTGGGCACAGTGAACTCGAATTCTTTTTTTTTTTTTTTAATTGTAGCATCTTGAACCCAACCCTACATCTCCTGGCTCAGGAAAATTGGGAAGGATCGTTGAAATCTATAATTTAAAAAAACATCCTCAGGCCATTGTGGCCTCGAGTCAAGTCGAAAAAACCCTGGTTTTGAGTTTTGGACAAGGAGTTTTGATGCCAGAGAATACGACTCTGTGAGGTTTACGTGTGGCTTCCCACAAAGACGTCTTAGGGGGCCTTTTGCCTTTCCAATGTCCCCTTTTCATAAAAATAGAGATGTGACCACGGCTGGTTTAAATTTCAGTGCCTGACCTTCCAGCTCTCAGCTCTCTTATATTTCGGCGCCATGAGCTTGACTCACTTATTCATTTATCTGGTAGGACATTTCACTCCATATTTGACATCAGCATTGACAGGTTTTAAGCCGTTTTTCCTTTCTCTTAAGATGCATGAAATGCGATGTGATGGGTGCAAGAAACGTATGGCTTCTTATCAACCAGGAGGAAACGCTATTTCGCCCCAGAAATGCACGAGGGATTACATTCCAAAGAAATTACAGAAAATCAGTAATTATCAGAAAAAATAAACACAGCATGGGCAAAGTTTTAATAAGCCAGGTTGGGCCGTGTTTTAAAATACAGGATGGCAGTTGAGATTAAAAACAGCTTTTATGCTTTTGTTTTTTTAAAACAGCCCACCGTATATAAGACGTTTCCTCTTGGGAACAAACCATTCCTTTTACCTTGACAGGCATTTCCCCCCCCCCCTCTCCCTCTCTCTTTCTCTCAATAACACCAACGTTAAGGTGAGTGCTTTGGGAACGTGTGTTTCAAGATTGTCTTGTTGTGAGTGACCCACAGAAAAGTTTGCTAGACTGAAGGAAACCTTCCAAGGGTTCAGTGTACAAGGGTTACGGAAAGGAATGGGTGGCTGGCGGTAGGGAGAGAATTCTTACTCCAAAGGAGGAATTTCCTTTCTAATCCTGAACCGTAAAACATTAAACCACAACCCAGGATAAAGCCACTATACATTGGACGATAAGAGGAACGAGAAAGAGAAAAGGTCTCGGTCTG